AGCTGTTGCAGAGGGCACCAGCGAGCGCTGCGGCGCAGCAGCAGCTCCTTGCGGGGCCCATCGCCGTGTTGCTCCGGAGGGGCATTCCCAGCCGGCTCCCCACCGGGTCCAGCCCTGCTGTGAGCTCCCAGCTTGTGGCCCGTGACACGGTGTTCCTGCCTCCCTGAGCCATGTGCAAGGTCCGATGCAGCAGGGTGCATGCTTGCCCTGGGGGGAAACTAACCCAGTGTGCTCCTCAGTGACAATGTATGGCCAAGTCACCGTTCCTCACCACAGACACAGGCACCAGGCTGCATAGATGTGCTCATGGTGTTAAATAGCTAGATATTTGTAATAGTTCGTTCAAATGCTGGAAGCCCAGGGCTCAACATGGCAGAGCCTGGGTTTGGTCATCGTGGCTCTGACTGGTGACATGTTGAAGCATGACCACCTATATCCCAGGCAGCTTCTCCATCACCATCTGTCCTGCCACAGTTTTAAGACCTAAAGGAAAAAAAGCCTTTGCTCTTGCTTCCTGCACTTTATCTCAGCCTGGTCTGGGCACAGCAGTACCGAGTGAGGGGGCAGGAGGGGGTAAAGCAGAACACGCAGCTGATGAGGGCTTCTCTGAGGACTTTGCAGGTGGTGCTGCGTGTGGTGAGATGCTGCTGGGACAGCTGCCTGGTGTCCCAGCCCTGATACCAGGGACAAGTGATGTACAGATCAATCCAATAGCCACAGCTGTGGGATCAGAGGAGAAGCGAATAACACAGCAAGAACATTTTTGTGTTTATTTGTGCTTGTGCCAGGAGAGCCATGATCACACCACAAAACAGTAATCACCAGCAAGGTAACAAACCCAAGCCTGGAGCGCTGCTTGCCCTCATCACTGGCTTAAAGCCTTTGCTCAATAGCTCTAATGAATGTTTGTTACTTGGGTAGAATAGCTGATTCCAGCTCCCGCTGGGAGAGCCCTTTGGATTGGCACCTGGGCCTGCACACCTGGGCTGCCTGAGATGCTTCTGTGGCGAGCACTGGGCCAGGGGTACCCACAACCCAGCTTAAAAGGCACCACAACACCCCCAAACATGTACAGAAGCAGCTCTGGCCCCTCTCCAGCCCACGCACTGGAGTCAAAGGCAATGGTTCAGGTTCTGTCCTTGGAGCCAGCAGCTGCTTGGCTTTGCCTCCATTTCCCAGGTGTTGCCCAAGTCTAGGGCTTCCTTTGCAAAGCACTTAGTGTTATTGCTACACCAAGAGCAATCCAGAGGCACAGGAAAGCCGTTCCTGCCAGCTAACATTGCAGGGATCCGTACTGACTGTTGGATTCAACGAGGCAAAGGCAATCTCAGCACTGTGAGGATGTGCATGTGATGATCTCATGCTGTGAGGATGTGGCAGACTGCACCTCCCTCTGGGCATCAAGCCTGAGGAGTTAGTGGTGTTTGGCACCTCTGTGATGTCTGCTGCCTGAAATGCTCTTGGGGGACGCGGGGTAATGATGGTGTGCAGCACTGAAATGGTATCTTGGAGAGCAGAAGAGAGAAAGAGGGTGAGTAGGCAGCAGGCAAGGCTGGCCCATTTGGGACCACGATGGGTTTCTCCAGCTCTCTGGCTGTCGTGAGGGAGCCATGAGCACAAGGCAGCCGCAGTTCCCAGCGCTTATTTCTCCCCTCCCTGTCGCTGGCACCACGAGTCCATGGCCCTCGAGTGCCTTCCACCCTCCACCCTGCAGGGATGGCCCTCCTCTCCTGCTTGCCTCCATCGGGGCCAACATCACATGATGCTGAAAGCTGCTTCTGAGGTCACTCTTCACTTGGGGACCATGGTAAAGGCCACCGCAGTGTCCTCTGGCCTTTGTATGGTGCTTTTGGGGGTCACAAACATAAATACAAGTGCAAAAGAAGCAGGCAGCAGTGACTTGGCACCGGGAAAGGGGCAGTTTGAAGATGCACTTGAACACAGAAGGATTCCCTTCCATTCCCTTGGATTCCCATCCAAGAAGTTCAGGGACTTCTCTTTATCTGTGCGTTGATTTTGGTTTGTATAGACAAGGCACTCCACATTTACTCACAGAGGGGTGCTGTGCACCTGCACTCCAATGCCAAAGCCTGCCCATCGCCCAAGTGATCGCCAGGAACAACACAGGATCACACAGTTCATCATGGAAGAATTTCCATGTATCTCCTCAGGTTGAAAAGGGGGCAGGCAAACGAGGAAACCAAAACTCAAAAAACAACAGCCCCAGAAAAGAAAATCCAAAAGGCACCCTTTTTTAGCTTGTATATTCTTTAATGATGTAAAAAATGAAAATAAAAGAACCGCTCCACTGATGTTGGCCTGGCGCAGCTCTCCTCCGCGCACGGAGGGCAGCAAAGCTACCATGCGGTTGGCAGTCGCAGATGCTCCTCCCTTCCCCTGCAGCCTCCCCCAGCAACGTGAGCACAAGAAAGCAGGTGAAAAACGACAGGAAAACAGCATTTCTGCTCCCCAGGCCTCGGTTTTAGCCAGGAATGGGTTAAAATAAGAACCTAACAGAATTTGTATGTCCAAATTAAAAGCAATGATGATCACAAAGCCCCCTTGAGAGCTGCCCTTTAAAACCCTGCAGCGTTTGAGTCCATTTGAGGACCTTATTTTTGGAGCCACAGGCCTGTGCTCTGGGGTCTCAGCCTAGAGGGCAGCAGAAGCAGTAGATGAAGGTGGCAAAAGCTCCTCCAGGAAGTTCTCAGCACTAGTAGAGGCCAGGAAGATGGCAAATTCAGCAGGCATCAAGACTTCATTACCATCTTTTTCAGGCCCTTTTCCAAAGGCCTTGGTGAGGGGGCAGAAGGGGGGATGGTCACTGTCTCCCAACCTGAGAGCTTGCATCCACTGCTAGCGTCAATGGCCAGAGCTCCCACTGCTCACACAGGTGATAAAGATTTGTATGAAACAAACCATTCATCTGTTTTTTAAGGATCCTTGTCACTCTCTTCCATTCCACCTTCTATAACGCTGCATCTTCTTTTTGTCCATGACAACCTTGCTGCTTGCTCCCATTGCTTTTTTCTTTTTTTCACCTTGCAGACACCTTCTCCCTGCCCCTAAAGCACCGTTTAGGCAGGCAAGTATCATTTGCTGTTCTTCTTCTTTTACTTGCTAACTCCCTAGGTTTGGTTTACTATGGTGAAACTTATAGAGACCATGTTTTCCTTTACAGCACCTAAGCTTCCTGATAGAGCAAAATATCCTCATCTTGAAAACTTTAAGAGTAAGGTGTTAACACCCTCTTTCAGTAGTCTCCCTTAAGAAATGTTTATAGATAGCACTGGTTATATAGATATAGCTATCATTTTTATTTATTACCAACCCAACATTTTATTTTGCAGCTGTTGATGTAATTAACAACTTCTTACTATTTCTCTCTTTTTCCTTAAAATGAAAAGGGTATCTTTTTTTTGGTTTTTTTTTTTTTGTTGTTGTTGTTGTTGTTTGATTCTGTTTTCAAATGCTAATAAGATGCTACAGGAGGCAGTTTCCAAGCTCATACTTTCCATGGGCTGAAGATCCCTAAAGACGGGGGCTCTGTGCAAAGCAGGGGAGCGAGCTAGGAAAACGCAGAGACGCTGTTTGGGGTTTCCTGCTCTTGTCACTCGTTGGGCTTTCATTTTGTTCCTGTTGTTTTTAAGGAGCCTGGCATCATCCTTGCTCTGCACAGCAAACACTGGCAGGTCACGGCAACCAGCGGAGCCTCCTGCGGGAGCACACAGATCTGGGGAGGCTGTGGATGGGGGTTGATGGGGATCATCAGGACCAACAAGGAGCCTTTCCCTTTTGCAGACCTGCGTGGCTTAAGAATGAGCTCAGCCTGGCACCAAAATGCTTAGAAACCTCTTGGAGATGGGTCGTGCCTGGAGGCATCTTGCTTGCGCCAGCACGTGAGAGCAACGTGTTATTTACACAAATTCATTTTCACTTGCAAGGACAGGGGCTGCTCCACTGCCCTGGCAGCTGAGCAAACACCACCGCAGCGTGAGCATAAGGAACGCGGGTGCCTGCTTCCCGGGCCCCGGCCTTCCCCACATGGCAGCCTGTTTCTCCGCATCCATTTACTTCTTTTGTAAATTAACATGATTTTCTCTCCCTGCAGTACCACAAGCTCAAAGTTAATTATACAAAGAGAAACGCCATAGTCAAAATATACATGATACATATTATAGTAGAGGGTTGGGGGTTGTTTCTTCCCTTTTTCTTAGCCCTGGCAGGTGATTTGAGATGCTACATGCTCCAGCCTCTGTCACTGAATCGTTCTCTCTGTGGACGTGTGTGTATACATGTTTGTATTAAAAATATATCAGTCTTGTGATGGTCTTAAAAAAGAAAGACATGGAAGGAGGTGGGGGAAGAAATGGTAATAGTGAAGTTCTTGCACTGTGTCACTGTTTGTTTTTTGTGGTTTCAAAAAATACGCATGTTCAATTCCCGCACTGATGGCAGCTTGAAGCTTTTGATTTTAATTTTTTAACATTTTCACCTTTGAGTAACAAAAAAGAAAAAAATAAAGCAATATGCCCCCTCTCTAAATAAAAAGCAATAAGCAAAAATAATAATAATAATAAAAATCCTGCTCGGATTTCTGCAATCGAAAAGCGTTTTAAAATAAAATAAAAAGAGATTATGCCTCCTTACAGTGGAGGGGTTCAGGAAAAAAAAAGGAAGCAAGAACCTACAGAAGATGCGACCGTCGAAGACGGCTGAATTTCTGAATTTCACCGGATGGGGTCGGCGGGCGGGTTGGCTTCGTTTTACTCGAACGCCGCTGCGCTCTTGGCATTTGTTTGATTTGGGAAGGGTCTGTGGGTGGGTGTTTTGTTCGTCTGCCCGCTCCACGATGTGCTCTGCCCTTCCG